TGAATGGAGTGCCTGCAATGATGAAGACTTATATTAACATCAATAAAAAAGAAAGAAAGAAAGAAAGAAAGAAAAGAAAAGAAAGGTAGGCACTTGTCAATCCTATTATCCTGAGGTCTAGAGTAGCCTGGAGGTAGTAAGTACCTAACTGTAGACATTCATTAACTCTTGGATAAACAACTGGGTAGGACCCTTTAATGGCTTTCTGATCCCTGAAGAAGAAAGATAACTTTCTGCCTCTCCTCCCAAACTAAGAATACTAACTGGACGGGCTTCTTAGGAGTAGAGCCTTCTCTCCTGCAGTGCCATCACTGACTGTCACCCTCAAGAGGCACCACCTGTCTCTCTCTTGGACTGATTACATTCTGGGGACTCCTGGGAAACCCTGCTCTACCCAAGCCCTGGAGTGGCCACATCTCCACACAAAGCTCCTATCCTGTTTCACACTCCCACAGTGTCCTGTATTTATCATTCCTGAACAAACCAAACAAAACTCTTATCTTTCTAATTCTATAACCCCAGGGACTAAATCTGTGCTGTTCATCCAAGAAGTTTTCCACCCAGTAGACTGCTTGGCTACACCAATTTGCTTTTCAGACACGAAAACACAGAGACTACCCATTCTTCCCGGCATGAATAGCCTGAAGACTTCCTGGAACCTGCCTGCTGCGAGTCCACATTCCAGGATGCACGTGCCTCTCTCCTCTTCCTGCCGTGATCCCAGCTTGGCATACTGGACACACCCTGCACGGCTATTCCTTCCTCTCCTTCCTCCCCACCTTCAGCCACTAAACTACTGTGCTCACATTTGGTTATCTAACTCCTGAAGTGATTAGGGAGGTCAGATGAAGCAATTCTTCTTATTCCTGTACCCCAGAGCGAAGTTTAGATTAGTATGACTCGAAAGCCAGAGACCTAAATTCAGTACAGAGGGAACTAGATGGTGTCCAGCCACACACTGTCAGAAAAATTCATTGGTATTTGTCATTAAATGGCAAAGACATAAACCTAGACCTTTGATAGATAAACATATTTAATCTAGTGCCTAATGCCCCACCATCCTTTCCTGGAGGTTGTTCCTATGGTGGTGTTGCAGTACTATTTTAAGTTGATGTACACAGGTATGTGATTTATAACCTTTTCGCAGCTGTCATTCTCAGAGGAGGGAAGGTTGGCTAGCAAGCCCCTGGAGAAAAACTTCAAAGACCCCGGAATCCATGCTCTCTTCCTCTAGGATGCATCCTAGCTAGATGAAGCTTTGGACATGTGCACATCGCAACTGGGAAGACACATGGACCACACCGCAGGTGAAGAGAAACAACTGTTCACATTGGAAACAAAGGCAGCTACTCTGGGGAGCTTCAGGCTCCTTTCAGATCCAGCTCCTCATACAAAGGACATCTTCCAGAGCACCGAAAGTTCTTAGACATCAGTGCTTAAGAACTAGCAGGTGAAATTAGCATCTCACAAAAATGGAAATAGTTGCTGTCAATCATTGGTGGTACTTTTTACTGCCAGGTACTAAGCTCAGGGGCAGAGAACTGCAAAGAGCAAAACTGATTACCACATAGGTACTAGACGAACATGGAGACAGTATTTTCACATGCTAATGAATGAAGCAGAAAAGAAATACATAACTCAATGTCAAAAGAATTCTTGAAGACTGACCTTGGGTCTAAAGTTAAGGCTTGGGATAGGAAGCCCTTCTGATTTCCCATCAGCCACTAGTACTCCACACACAAAAAGAAGAAAAAAATCTTATATGTAAAACCTTTTCCATATAAGAGCAGTTAACAAGGAAAATGTTTAAATCATCAAAAAGAACCATACATGGGTCTAATTTCAGCATGTGAAATTTTATTTGTGTTTTAAAATTTCAAGTACTTTATAATAAAGTCTTAACAAAAATATTTTTTAAAAAAGAGTCATAGCTAAACATCTCACGTATGTTAAAAAAGAATCCAATATGTTCACCTGTACAAAATAAGAACATTGCAAGCCAAACAACTTGTCGGTCCAAGTCCAACTTTAACTATTCGACAAGAGAAACATAAGGTATATTTCCAAAGAGAAGAGGCCAGAGCTTTCATTTTAGTTAGTTTCCCACAATCTGTACAAGAACTGTGAATGAATTTTTAGATTAATTGAAAATAGAAGCCAGGTGGGCAGTGGTGGCGCACGCCTTTAATCCCAGTACTTGGGAAGCAGAGGCAGACGGATCTCTGTAAGTTCGAGGCCAGCCTGGTCTACGAGACTTAGTTCTAGGACAGGCTCCAAAGCTACAGAGAAACCCAGTCTCAAAAAATCAGGGAAAAAAATGAAAATATATAGCAAGCGTCTCATATTTTGAAAAAAAAAACCCTGTTCATTTCCAGTTTCTGAGGAAAGATGACGAGAGGCTGAGGAGATGGTTCAGCTGAGGCAGCACCTGCTGCAGATGCATGAGGACTTGGGTTTGTATCCCTAAGAACCTACCAACAAATTGAGCACTACAGCATGTGCCTGTAATCCCACTGCTGGAGAGATCCCGAGAGTTCACCGACAAGAGGAATTGATAAGCTCCAAGTACAGTAGAATGTTTTTGACCTTGACTCATTAGATAATATGGAAGGTGATCCAGCATCTGCAGAACCTTTGTGGCTTATAGCTGCAAGGCTTGACACAGACCTCACAGGGCAGATCACACGAGGGGCTAGAATTCTCCCTCGACAAGCAGGGTCTGGGCCTATGTGAGTGCACCCTGATGCTCAGACATTCATTCAAGTCTCTCAGTTTGAAAAGACCGACCAAGGAGAACTAACACAAAGCCATGGGGAAACTCAATACGCAGTGCTAAACAGTGAGAAACTTTCCTCCGTTGAGTGTTCAGAACATGGTTACCCTCAACAGCGGTAGAGTGAGGGTGTCGGTGTCTGGCTCCATACCAAAGTTCTACCCTCTCTATTAATATTTCCTTCATTTCTGTCATCTCTCTTACAACAGTCCTGATTCTGGGACTCTAAAACAATTCATTGTGCCACCTTTCAAATTTTGGAAAAACAGCGTCAGCAAGTGTCATCAGGAGACGAGTTTGTAGACTCTGTGCTGTCCCCGAAGGATTTGTGAGCAGTTTTAGGCATGTGCTCTAGCGCTTTACCCCACGCCCAGCTGTTTGTCATCACTTTTGTGTCTGGCTCTGATGAACGACACTTATCTTGAACGGAACAGAAAACTGGCAATGATGAACTAACTCTGTCAGAGGCCTACACATCCCTTGTTCCAGGAAACAGCTAACTTCAAAACACAGTCCTGCCCTGATGCCAGCCAAAGATGCCTGAAGGCCAGGAATCTTTCTTTACATGGGCTATCTAACGCTGGTCGGGTGTGAGGGTTGCCAGAGGGACGAGCAGGCAACTCTAACTTTACTACTGTCTCATCCCAATGCCAAGTCTCCTGGCCTTTCCATCCCATGATAACTGATAGTCACCAAGGTAACAGGATCAGAAAGAGACACAACAAGAGTGAAAAGAAGAAGCACTCAACTTTCCGGGAAGCCTCTGCCAGCATTCCCAGGAGACATGAGATAAAGGTACCAACTCATTCCAGTCAGAATGGCTAGCTTCAATAAATAAATCTGACAGAAAATGTTAAAAAAAGATGTGGAGAGATAGGAATCTAATACTCTCTTGGTGGGGTACAAAGTAATATAGGCATTGTGGAAATCAGTTTTGAGATTTACCAATTATTAAAAATAGAACTATCATATGACCCAATTATTTCATTCCTGGGACTATCCCGAGAATCCTATAACCTATCACAGAGATGTGTGCAATCCCATGTTTATCACTGCTTCTTTTCCTATAGCAAAGAGTTGTGACTCAACAGATAAATGGATAATGAAAATCCACTATGTATATTCATGTATATATGCATACACACATATGCATAAATATATGCATATATACAAGTATACATATACTTTACATGTATGTGCATATAATATAGTATATAGATAGTCTATTTTCATAGATAGACAAATAGATTTAGATTAGATATAGATATAGTGGAATACTATTTAGCTCAAAAGTAAATATAATCACACAATTTGCAGGAAAATGGATGGATTTAAAATATATAATATTAAGTGAGGTTACATAATCTCTGAAATAAATATTCATATTCTCCCTCATATGCACAATCTATGTTAAGCCAAATGTATGTGGGGGCATACCATGTAGAAATGAAACAAGAAAGGCTAATGTTAGGGCATAAGAAAGGATGGGATGTGGATAACGGACATGAGTTATGAAAGAGAATGTAAAGCCACTTGTTTTTCTAGTTCTCACTCTGTCGTGGAATTTTTGGTTTTCATGGTGGATAGATGTATAAAGATATATTTGGTAGTGAAAGTATAAATCCACTGTACATAGCTGCTTCTATAAATGACTTTTCTAACTGCACAGAAGTACACTGAGGTACATAGACTTTGGGTCTGGTTCACTTTGGAGTGGTTTTCCTCTGCAAAATTCTTACAACAAAGTTGATAAATGAAACAAAGATCAGTCTAAATGGAATAAGAGTTTGGTTGTTTGATGTTTGGTGTCTCATAGGCTGGCATCTAACTTAGTATGTAACTGAGGATGACCTTAAATTTCTGATCCTCCTACCTCCACCTCCTCAGTGCTAGAAGGGAAAGGAAAGAAAGCCCATCACACCTTCATGCCATACTAACGCATGAACCCAGGATTTTCTGTATCCAGGCAAGCACTCTACCAGCTACATCCTTCGGTCCAGGAATTAAGAGCCTTAATCCACACAAGTTTATCGCAGGAAGGTCTTTGATAGTTTGCTATTCGTGCAATATACTTACTATCACTCGTATTTCTTTCCTTTGCTCCTAAAGAAAATACTTTCTTTACACTTACAAGCCCCAAACAACCTGGTAGGGAGCACCAGAGGAAAACTGGAAGAGCAGCGAGACCGCAGACTCCCTAACTCCCTGAAGCTCTGCCCATACTCACGCAGTTGTGGTCTGCATGTCATGCCAGCTTCGGCTGAAGTTCTGCTTTAGCTCGTTCATCAGGTTCATGCCAAGTTTCTGTTTGATCTCAACCAGATGTCTTTCTTTTGCTGACAAAACTTGTCGCAATGTTGTGATTTCGTCTTCTAGCTACAGGTAAGAGAAAAAAAAATGACAGGGTGAAACATCAGAGTGAGTGAAAAATGTATTTCCAAAAGATTGTGATGCTTCCGTGCAGTCCTGTTAGGGGCCTCACGCTGCCAACGCCAAAGCTTAACTATGCAAAGAGACTTCAGGTGTCTGCCAGTTTCCTCAGCATTCTGGGTGTTTCAAAATAGGGAACTTTGTCTCATTTACATCCAAAGTATCACTTTATTTCTGACCACAACTTGTGGATAATCCTGCCACGCATCTTGCAAACGCCTTCCTTGGATCACCAAGGAAGCTGCTGAAGAACAGTGGCTTTTGAAACAGAGTCTATTCTGTGGCAAAAGGATGACTTTTTCCCAGTGCCAAACAGTAGGAATCGCGCTTGGACTTTTCATCTTCTGTTTTGACCCTGGTGAGGACTGAACCCGCGGCCTCACATGCATGATACACAAGTACTCTGAACTGTTCCCCAGATGGGAACCCTCACAACACAGATAACCACTTCAGGAACAAAGACACAGAGAAGAAGCATTTTACATAGCACACTATGAAAGAACAAAATCTTGGAGAGATTTTAGCAACAGGAAAATGTTCCTATAGTTTAATGGTATACATTTCTTTATGTTCATGGAATGTTTTTATATGTATTTGGAAACATTTCCAGGAGAGAGACTGAATCACATGTTCCATACATATTTATAATCAGTAGAAGTGTGTCTTTTTCTTGATGACCAAGTCTTCTGTGTACATGGCTAGGCTGCCAGCTGAAAGAGAAGGCCGCTCTGACTACCTGAGGTGCACACGTTAGTCTCCCGCTACGAGAGAACACAGTGTTATTTTAAAACCACAGTTTCTCTGTTCGTTATTACCCTGTCATATTCCACTTTTTTATTTTTGTCGAAGTGTCTTCCTGTATTTCGTCTCCTGCCTAATATGGATATCTCTTGTTCCTTTTCCACAGACAATGCTTGGGTATCGCATCTTCCTCTCCTCTTCGATAGCTAGAGCCCTCCTGCTTCTTTCGCTTTGAGTGACTGAAATTACTGGGAGTCTGGTTCTTTCTTGGAGTGGGATGGATATGTAGGATGTTTCTGTGGTTCCTATTGTGTGAAAAAAAAAAACCCTGGGAAAACTTTTCACTTGCAGAAGTAACTGACTGCTGTAGGGCTGGAGAAAGGGCACAGATCTTGATAGTTCAGCCTCATGCACATGGAGTTTTGTAGATACATCAAGTCCAAAGTGAGATCAAGAGCAGGTATATCACATTGACCGAAGCATTTAGACTACCTTTTAACTCAGCATAATTTTTTTCTTCATTAGAGATAGATATTTGGTTTTTTTAATTTACTTTTAAATATTTATTTCTTTGAGACAGGGTCTCACTATATAATGCTGGCTGGCCTAGAATACACTATTTGGGGTTATTTGATGTTTCTTGACTCCCTAGACAATCCCCATGTGAGAAATATTTATGACCAAGGTTAGATACTTTAATTGATTATTTACATATGATTAGTAAGAAAACAAGTGCTAGCGAAGATGTGAAGGAATGGAACCTTTACGTGTTGCTTCATTAAAAAAAGGCTATTTCAGCACTGTAGAACACTGTCTGGTTTCCCAAAGCTAAATGCCAAACTACAATTTGGTCTAGTAGTATCATTTTGACGTATATACCCCAAGAAATTTAGAATACATGTGTTAACAGTAACACAGTTTATAACCAAAACAGCCCACATGTCCCTCAAAGGTTTAACACAGCAAACTGTGTTTATGCATAAAGTAAGATATGGTGCATTCATACCAAAAAATGAACTCTTAATACATGTACCTGTGTGGATGAACCTTGAACCTTGAGCATGTTTCTGCATGGGTAAACCTTGAAAATATTAGGCTTAAGAAAAAGAAACCAGACACCTAGAGCTCACATAGCATGTGAGTCCACACACACTGAACTACTCAGAATAGGCAAAGTCCCAGAGAGAGAGGACAGCATGGTGGTTGTCAGAAACTAGCTGAAGGGTAAGGTATGAGAATGGCTTGATGTATATGGTTTCCTTTCAGAAGGGGTGACAAACATTTGTGTTTTAGAGACTCAAGTAATGACTACAGAATGTTGTATATTTGTTGACCGTGTTAAATAAACTTATCTACATAAAAATACAAAAAAAGCAAATTAACTAAGCTGGATTTGCTAAAAAATTAACTTTAATACACAATTTATGTTGTAAGATTGGAAATTTAATTTTCTGTTTGAGTTGCTACATTGTAAGGAATTTATAACACACAGTCAGAAGAAATGTTTTGATAATCTGTTCATTGTCGGTAAGTCATTCTGCACATGGCCTCAACACCAGCCTCTTTTGGCTGAGATCCCCGGAGAACTAAGATTAAAATGCTCCTCCAGGAATTGGGAGAAAAAGGCCCAGGGTCAAGTCAGCCTTTTCCAATCTTCATAGCCTGAAGGCAGTGTGTGTTCTTGGACCTCGCACCCAGTGAGGAAGAAATCAAAAGAGAGGAAAAAGTTTCAAAATAGGTTCTGCCTTCTGATGATGCTGCCTGGCATTTTAATCACCTATTTTTTGTTTGTTTGAGTCATCCTATCTAGGAACATTGGCGGTACCAAATTGTTATATAATCACAAATTGCTAGCACTGGTGCCAATACTTCCATCTTTCCAAAGACAGGCACGTTACAGAACACGGCACATTAAATGCAGCTCAGAGGAAACAAAAGGTAAAGACAACAAGAATTATTGAGTGAGTGTATCTGAAAAGAGCGATCATTAGATATTTAAAGACCTTAAGCAGCTGGTGACAAGATAGAACATATATCAGAAATGAACCAGTACTTTGTAATATAGTGATAAGATCCATAGAATCACACACTCCACTTTGGGCATTAGCAATAGAGATTTTTGATTAAGCTGCAAAATAACTCTAGCTAATGATAAATAGTCATTGGACACGTATGCACACACCGCTGCACCAGATAGGGTCTGTAGGAAGTTGAGGCCTACCAGGTCAAAAGGAGCAAACCTGGAGTCTGCCTGGTGCTGTCAGAGGTCCTGATAATGCCTAGCCAATGAGGGACAACCCTGCGAACAGTCAACGGATCAGAACACCTGGGTGCTGGCAGGGTTTATAAGTTTCTCCCCATTGTAAAATAAATGAATCTTCTGTTTGCCTTCTACCTGACTCCCAGTGTCTGAGACATTGACACTGTGCCTTCTCACCCCCTCCCCCTAGGAAGACGCTAGGGCCCAGCAACTAGGGATAATACTGGTTTTGTGTCCAAGGAATTTTAAGAATACAAGCATAACATAATAAAAGAAACTACAGTTCAAGTTGTGTACAAAACATGTTGGCTGTGTGGATCTACAAACTTAGAAGATGGTCTGAGGACAGCCTCATCAGGGCAGTAACTAAAAGTATGGGGTGAAGAAGGCTGAGAGACGGCCATAGGAAGCTATTAGGGAACTAAGAAGAGGTGCGAACTGGAGTCTGTGTACTGGCAGACCCAAGACTGCTTTGGACAAACAGAGATAAGCTGTCTTTATCCATAGAGGTCTCGCTCTGCCATAGGATTGCACTTCACCCGATAAAAGAGAGATCTCCAAAAGACTGGTCTCTGAGGAATCTTTACCTTGATTTGTGAATGAAGAGGGCGTGCACATACCATGAGGCATATGGGGAAGTCACAGAACAACCTGTGGGACTTGATCTCTCCTATCCCTACATGAGTGTCAGCGCTGTCACTCAAGCCATCGGGTTTGGCCACAGGCACCTTTAACTGCTGACCCATCTGCTGGCCTCGGAGGAGTCTTCATACCCCATGCCTAAGAAACTCAACAAGACCTTCCAGATGCAGAGAGGATCTGCTTTTGACCTAGGAGATCATCTGTGGAGAGTTGAGACAGGGGCTGAGCTTTTCTGTTGAGAAGACTGAGAGTCGTCTCTATGTTCTTATGGTAACTGGATCCTCGCAGTGCCAATAAAACCTGAATGTATCTGGTGTGCAAAGGCCCTGCTCTGCTGCCTGTGCATAGGCAGGACATTCTTTGCAAGAGAGAAAGGGTAGGGAAGCTGACTTGGGAAAAGAGCAAGGCCAAGGTGGGGGTAGCAAGGGAGAAGAAATGGGCAAGGGAAATTTGCAAGGATACATGTGCCTGTCATTTCACTGTCTGGGGGACAGGCCCAAAACAAGTGTCTCTGGAAGTCATGATGCTAACTTTAACACTCGTTGACTCTTTATCTCTGAAGCTCCCAGAAATAAAACAGAAAGCATTAAAGGCCAGTGCACCATAAAGGATGGAATCATGAATCCCTGTAACCTAAACACAGTCATAAAGCGTTTCGTATCAGGATCAGGATTCTGACCTCAAGAGTATCAGAAATGAAACTTGCTGGAAGCAAGATGCTGTGACCAAGAAGACAGGGAAGTCTGAGAATGCTGCTGAGCACTTGCTCTCAGGAAGCATCCATCTCAAACCAACGCTTCCTTTTTCCTTGATAATAAGAACAATATACGCCAACAAGTGCACACTGAATTGTGTGACGTGTGTACACACCCATCCTAGAACACAGATAAACTAAGACATTTTATAGGAGTCATTCTGCTACAGAAGTCTTCTTGAGCTGACACTGGGGCTCTTGTAGTGAAGGATTTAAGGTCTAACTTCACGTCAACAAGCCTGCAACAGTTTACAGAACATAATTTTTAGACACTACAGTTGACATAAACAGGTCATAGAACAGAATTTTGAGTCATGAGACCATGTGAAGTTAGCCTATTACCCATTAAGGTGACCTTTGTTCTGCACTCTGGCATGCATGACCATTCAGTGGCCACACAGAAGTCCAGGTAAAAAGCCAGAATATTCTGTTAGAGGCAGTGCACTTGCTGAAATACATTCCAGTCATGTTGGAGGACCAAGTTGGTCTGTTATTTTAAAATGGGACTAATTTAAGGGCAGGCACACAAAAACAATGTCACACAATGTTGTCTACATATAGACTACATAATGACACCTGTATTTGATACAAAACAAAACATAGAAACAGAGTAAAATAGTGTTTGCTGAATGTTGGGGAGGGAAAGAGGGAAATGATGAGAAAATGGTCAAAGGATACACAATTATTTTAGATAAGAGTAAGTTCTGAGGTTCTACCACCATTCAGTAGGATAATAATATTGGTTATGCATTTCAAAATAACTAGGAAACTGAATGGTCTCAGCACAAAGAAAAACTAAATATGTAAGGCAGCAGATACACGCTGCATCTTTATTTGGCTGCCACACGCTATCCACACATACGAATATATCACACTGTATCCCATAGATACATCCTACTGTTATGTGTGGATAAAAATAAAATGAAAACTTATAATGGAGTGTATTAATAAACATTAGTGGAACCCAACTCAGAAGGCAGGCAGAAGAACTGTTAGTTCCAGGTCAGCCTGGGTTACCTAGCAAGATTCATCCTCAACAAAACACAATTAAAATAATAAAATTACAGAATAAAACTTAAAGAATGTATTGCAATTCATTAAGACCTTACATTGATAACAGTGAGCTAGTATAGCGTAGCAGCTGTGCCGGACCCAAGGCTGTGTCCTGAGCCAGTGGAGAGGTGACAAACAGAAGGACGGGAAAGCCACACTTTCGTGAGGAATGAGCTCATGCCAGCCTGTGAATCGGGTGCCGAAGGAATGATCACGTCTACCTCTCCTCTTCTCCTGCTTCATTCTGCTCTAGGAGCCCACCTCCAGCCCTCTCCAAGAAACAGACATCTCTCACTGTGAGTCAACGGGCGAGAGGGTCCCACCTACCAAACGCTGGGCACAGACCTAAGCTTAGGATGAGACTGGCATTTTCCTCTCCTTTAGGACAGCAGGTACAAATGCTCCAATTAAGTTCTAATTAATTGTAGCTTACTTCTCCACCCGCAGAGTCTCATTGTTCTTCAAAAGAGTCAAGTCAGCTGATTTCATGATTGACATTTTCGTTAAAGTAATAAACATGTTGAAGAATTGCTTTTTAAAAAGAGATTGTGGCTATGCTGTGGTTTCTTTATTGTTTTTTGTGTTTGAGTCAAGATTTTGTATATGTAGTCCAAACAAGTCTGGAACTCACTCCACATCCCAGGCCAACCTCCACTCTTCATCTTCCTGCCTCAGCCTCCTGAAGGCAAGGATAACAAGTACGCGTGGCCACACCTGGTCTGTCCCAAAGCTTTAAACACATTCCTTCTGATTCCTTAAGTACTTAACATTTGCACAACATCTCTACACTAAGGAAAACAAGAAGCACATACTTAACACAACTTGTTATTGTAGATTGCACAGCACCATCCACCACTTTACCACTGCAGACACAACCAGCATTATAAAACCCCTTGGGAAAAATGAATCATCCTGCGATGTGTTCATTTATGACACTTTATTACATGACAGACAACATAATTGCAACATGGGACCTGTATTGAGCAAAAGACAGAAATAGAAGATTGCTGAACATACCTGAACTAATTCTGCCTTTAACTCTTCCTTCTCCTCCTCAGAGAGCATGCTAGAGAAGTCAGCACTGGCTATCGCATCCTCATCTCTTCCTTGCAGTGGTTCCGTCTCCAGCAAGCCTTCAGGCAGAAGTGACAAAACATAGAGTGATGATCATACATTTAGCCATCTTTCCCTTTTGTATCCTGGAGAACTCTGAATACCGACTTAATCTCACACTAAAAGCCAACAAAAACTCACCCAAAGAAAAACAAGAGCAAAGCCTTTATGCTAAATGTGTGAACGCCAAGAGAGCAAATATTGAGAAGTCTAAAACCAAAGAAACAATCAAAGAACCTGAGTGCAAGGGAAAAGCCAGAATGTAAACAAAGAGCTGGAGAGATAGTCAGTGGCATGTACTACCCTTACAGATGACCCGAGTTCAATTCCTATGTCAGGAAAGTCACAACCTCCTGTAACTCCAGCTCCAGGGGATCCCACATCTCTGAATAGAAGGTACCTGCTCTCACATATACACATACCTCCACAACACATACATATAATTCTGAAAATAAAAGACATCTTTTAAAAAATATAAACAGCCTGGCGGTGGTGGCGCAAGCCTTTAATCCCAGCACTCGGGAGGCAGAGACAGGCGGATCTCTGGGAGTTTGAGGCCAGCCTGGTCTACAAGAGCTAGTTCCGGGACAGGCACCAAAGCTACAGAGAAACTCTGTCTCGAAAAACAAACAAAAAAATATATAAACAAAGCAAGCTGTCACCCAATTTACTTGGGTCATACAGGTTCACTTTTAACTGCTGCAAGGGTTCAGGGAGCAGAAAAAGAAGTTCACCCAGGGAAAGAAAGACAGAGTGAGACTTCAGATAAGCCTTCCTTCCCTGCAGGCCTGGCTTTGAAGCTTATAGCTGAGCAACAGATGGAGAGAGAGAGAGAGAGAGAGAGAGAGAGAGAGAGAGAGAGAGGACTCTCTCTCTACCTCAGGAACTCATTACCCTATAGTGGACTAAATATAAGCCTACTGCTTAGATGCACTTTGCCTGCAAACATTCAGAGCCCAGAAAACTATTTTCTATTTTTGATATGGTAACATTCAGAGGCTGGAACAACCACACATAGAGGAAACACAGAAACAAATGGTTCCCCAAAGAGGAAAAGGTACTTGGAGTTTTGATGCTATCCTGTACCACAGACTAAAGCCATGCTAACTCAACTTGCAACTAAAGATGCCCTATTAGTTAAGATAGACAATCCCTAGGCATGCCCTGGGCCATCTGGCTACCCAGCTCATTGATCTGTGTTGCCTGGGGAACCCAGAGCATATCCACAAACATGTTCAAAAAATTATTTATGACATGGTACATGGCTGTTATTTACACATCTGTAGTAAAAGGGCTTTTAAACATTCATGTAGAAATAATAATGTATACATTTATACATGTCTCACAGGACAAAACTAAAAGTTCTAGAAGATGATAAGTTTATATCTATCAACATCTATCAACCTTTGGGAGGGAAGCAATTTCTCCAACAAAAAACAGAGTAAAACATGTAAGAAAGATTAAGAAAGTCTCTTAAACACTACCAGAGACAAAAAGACATCAGAACATATTGCTACATAAAAGATTAAGAAAATATCAGTTCCTAGAATATGTAGAATTTCTATAAATCAATTTTTAAAAAACTGGGACTCAGCAATCTTTACTTTCCTTCCTGTCCGCTGTTTTAAATTCTCCATTCTCATCCTCAGCCCTGTAGAATACCCCTTACAGGGGCCTGTCCTCACTCAGTCAAAGAAAATGTTAAAGCTAAAAAATAAGCCAGGCAGAAAATATTCAGGAAATCTGGAACACTGTGAAAAAACCAAGTCTATGAATAATAGGAATAGAGGAGGAGAAGAAACCCAGTTCAAAGGAACAGAACATATTTTCAATAAAATCGTAGAAGAAAATTTTCCTAACTTTAGGAAAAAGGTGTCTGTCAAGGTACAAAAATCATACATTAGAAGACCAAATAGACTATACCATAAAAGAAATTCCCTATGATACATAATAATCAACACACTGATGTACAAAACAAAAAAAAGAATATTAAAAGCTGCAAGGGAAAAGACCAAATAGCATATAAATGAAAACTTATGATAATAACACTAGATTTCTCAGTGGAGACTCTAAAAGCCAGAAAGACGTGAACACATGTGATTCAGAGAACACAGATACCAGCCCAGACAACTGTACCTAGTAAAACTTTCAAATATAATAAAATATAATAGATGGAGAAAACAAGACATTCCACAATAAAACCAAATTTAAGCAGTATGTATCCAACCAACTGTACAGAAAGTTATAGAAAGAAAACTTCAATCTGAAAAGGTTAACCACACCCAAGAAAACACAGAAATAAATGATCCCAAGAGCAGCAAATCCAAAGAGCAGGAAAAACTGACATCATAACAACAAAAAACAGGAATCAAAAAAAAAAAAAACCATGTTAACTGATAGTTCTCAACATTAATGGTCTCACTTCCCCATTAGAAAGAAACGGACTAACAGATTGGATTTAAAAACAGGATCCATTCTTCTGCTGCATCCAAGAAACATACTATAATGCCAGAGATAGACATAACCTTAGGGTAAAGGGTTAAAAGACCTACAGGTCAAGGGAGAAATTAAGAGCATTAGAAAATTTTATGGATATATGCCCAAGGATCTAACACACTGATTTCCATGCTGGTTGTAAAAATGTGCCATCTTAAGACTTTAAAAATATATATATCAAAGACAATATCGGACAATGAAAGACCTTGACCATGGACTATTCTCAAGGATCAGTAGAATTAATACAGTGAAAATAGCCATCTTATCAAAAGCAATCTACAGATTCAATGCAAGCCCCATCCAAATTATAACACAATTCTTTACAGAAATTGAAAAGAAAATTCTCATCTTCATGTCACACACACACACACCACCACCACCACCAACAACAACAACAACAAAATCCCCCCCAAATCCAGGATAGCAAACAAAAATCATCATAATAATAAAGAACTGATGGAAGTATCACCATCCCTAATCTCAAACTGTACTTCAGAGCTGTAGTATGGCCATAAAAACGAACACATTGATCAGTAGAATAGAATTGAAGACCTAGCTATAAGTCCACACTCCTGTGGACACCTCATTTTCAATAAGGAAGTCAGAGCGAGACACTGGAAAAAAGACAGCAGCATCTTCAACAAATGGTGCTGGGCAAACTGGATGGCTGCATCTAGAAAAACGAAAATAGATCCATATCTTTCACCCTGTACAAAACTCAACTCCAAATGGATCAAAACTTCAACATAAGGCCAAATACACTGAATGTGACAGAAGAGAAAGTAGGGAACAGCCTTGAACTCATTGGCACTGGAAAACACTTTCTGAACAGAACACCATCAGCACAGGCAGTAAGATCAACAATTAATGAGTGGAACCTCATAAAACGGAAAAGTTTCTCTATGACAAAGGATACCATTATTTATAGAAAGCAGCAGGCTAAAGTATGGGAAAAGACATTTACCAACTATACATCTGACAGAGGGCTAAAATATATATAAAGAACTAAAACAATAAAAAAAACAAGAAAACTGGACATCAAGAAAGCATATAACCCAATTAAAGCATGGGTACAGATCTTAACAGAGAGTCCTCAGGAGATGAAACACTAATGTCTGGGAAATACTTAACCAAAAGTTCAACATCCTTTGAGATTTTATCTTACACCAGTTACAGTGGCCAAGATCAATAAAACAAACAACAGCACAACAGCTCATGCTAGAGAAGATGGGATGTGACGACATCCATTTCTGGTGGCATTACATGTGGAAATAAATAAAAAACAGCCATACATATTCTATGTATGTAGTAACATAAATAGAATTGTTTAATAAAAGAACAAATAATAAGTCTGAGTCGGAGAGTGGAGCTGGAGTACTCTGTTGATCACGTGAGATCTCTGGAATCCAAGGAGACTGTAAAGTACCAGTCAAATGGCCGTATGCCTGCATTTGCAAGATCAAAAACTGGTCTGAAACATTACATTTAAGTCATTTATAAATGGATCCAGATCTAGATGAAGAGTTACTGTGCTGGTCCCACATTCCCAGGTTCAAGGTCCAACTAAGGTTAGTCTAGCTACAAAGCTTATGTACTTGTCTGCATTTTACGTTTCTCTATTAAAGACCTGGCTTAATTGACAAACACAGAGATTTATGTGTACAATGACAGCACCCTTGTGACCTCACATTTCTCGGTCCTCTGACACTAGGGATTAGTGTCTACTGTGTAAACCACAGGAGATCTATTTGCAGCACACCAGTGCTTCCCTGTTCCTGTTGAAATAGGAACCATCAATGTGTTGGCAGCTATAAATTAAGAGATGGGCTCTAGGTTAAATAATACCTTTAGCACTGTGAGGAAATCACCTATTGGCATCTGCATATTCTCAGGGCATTTTCTCAGTCTGGGGATTTGGCAACGACTTGTGGCCTTTGTTGAAGCTCTACAGACAGCTATACACCAAAATGATCATTAAACTATGTTTTTGGATCAATCATACATTGTTAGCAAAGACTAGGGAATTGCAGATTTCCTTGAAATATAAACTAATCTTATACTATACCAAGGAACTAAAGAGGTCCAGTTCTTTAGCCAAGAAAAGGAGGCAAGGTGTATTCTTTCAGAAAGAGCACAAAATTATCCCAAGATTTAATAAAAGAAGGAATGCAATAAATCAGCTTAAATGAAAACTTACCATGACTTGAATAATAGATTTAAGACTGTAATATTTATTACCTAATTATGTTTTCTTCATAATGTGAGGTAAAAATAAATTCCAAATATCTGCTTATTATCAAAGGGATAAAATATTGAGCTAATCTCATTACTGTGGGATTTATAGTTATCTTCAAATGCACAAAATCCTTAATACAAGGTGGTGTGTAGAAATTAAAGACATAAAATATGCTTATTTTATTAGTACCATACACTCTGCATACTCACTTAACTTATCCCTCAGACTGAAGAATTATTTTTCGTGGACTCCATCATTCAACTGCTTTTCTTTCATCTGTGAGTAGCA